CTGCGAACTGGTTTAATTTGGGCAAAAAATTCAAGAGACATTTTTTTTTAGAATGAAACAGGCTATCGGAAATAAATTTTTAAATGGTAAAAAAATAATAAGACAAAAAATTACGTTGGAAATAAATTTTAGGGGTTGCGTTTTCCACCCCTTACTACCATGGGGTAAACCAAATAAATTACTGGCTAAGTGTCTTTTTGGTAGTAGAAAATGTCAGGTTAATTTCAATATTGTAACTTGTTTAGTGCTTGTGAAAAAAATTGTTAAACAAATTTTATGTACCCCCTTTAAAGGGCTGTATCTTAACAAGGGATGCTCCAATGAAGTTTCTTTATATGAAAGATCCTATCTTTTTTTCGATGAGGAATCACCCCCTTGAATGTTTTACACTTATTTAGTAGTTAATTATACACCCTGTATAATAATTATATTGTACATAGTTTACACACAATACATTTTTGAACGCGTACGCATCTTTACCCGAATTTGACGCTCAATATCTCCGATGTCCGAGGTCTGTAGGTTCGCAGTGTGTACAACTGCTAGTCAATTATTAGCGCTGTTGCCACATCTGCATAATCTTTATGCGTTCATTAAATATAATTTAAAACTACTTAAATATTATATTTTTATGTTGTTAATTAGTCAATATTATGCTATGTTCATATGAGTAGATTTCTTTGCTATATAGATAATGTTTATCGCAAATAATTTCAATATAATTAAATTTTTTCAAATTGGCAGCGGGTTTTAGTCCCATAAGAAAAGCATAGGACCCCCCCTGCGCTCCTCACTTCCCTCGGACCCCGATATACCTCCTTAAGGACGCCCTTAATAACCGACTTTTAAAATACTTTGTTTAATTTAATTAATTTTTTATAACTAACAAATATAAAAAAACGCCAAAAACTACTGTTCGTGTCAATGAACTATAAAATAATATATCTCGCAATAAATTGTGAGGTTATCTTTTATCTGATTTATTTTCTGAAAATTGTGGGAAACAAGCAAATTCTTCGTTTGATTCGCCAATAGCATTCAACCCACTTGCTGGATTAAATCGTTCTCTCTTGTTCAAGGTGGAGATGTTGTACCAGAGATATTTTTTAAAGATGAACCAAAGCAATATGACGAATCTGATCTCGCTTCTGCTGCTGCTCTGCATCGGCTTCTTGATGGTGGCGGCGATAGACTTCGCGCTGCCGCGCGAGGAAGACGCCTCGAAAATACAGGCAGGGTCTGACAGATTGGAGAAGTTGCTCGTTCTAATGTGTACGACGGGCTGTTGTATAGCCATCTATGGAGGTAAGAGGCTTGTGGGAGGTGTCGGGTCTTTTTTTAAACTAAAATAGTGGAGTCAAGATAGCTTAAAATTACGCATTATTTCGAAATAATTATGGGAAGCGTCGATTTTCCTAAAATCCTTTGAAATAACTTGGAGATAAATATTAGAAAAACTTAGAAACTTATTTTTGTACGCTAATTGTTTTTTAATTGTTTAAACAATAATAAATTGTTTTTTTTTAAGAATATTTAAAATAATTCAATGAATTTTAAATCGAATTGTTTCAAATTGACAATATAGGGGTTTTCGATGTCGCCGAACAAGAATATGAAGTCGAAAAATTAAAATTCAAAATGGCTGATCCAATATGGCCGACTATTTTAAACAATTTATTTAACAATTATCGATTTTATATCAAACTCGCTCATATTTGTAAAATAGAGGTTCGAAAAATGAAAATTATAAATGGCTAAAGAGGTTTTATTGAAAATATGTTTTATTTTTTAAAAAACAAATTTATTACAAAATAATTAATTTTTAAATCTCATCGAGTTCTTGCTCTTCTTCAAAAATAACGGGGCAATTAAGACTTTAAGCCAATAAAATTGAAAAAAAAACACTGATTTTAAATACAAAATTTCAAAATCAAAATCAACGTCCCCTATTATTTATTTATTCATTAATTATTTTAAAAATGGATCAATATTCATATATAAATATTAAACTCATACATTTACAGGTTTAGCATAAAAGAAAACGAATATAAATACCTTAAATGCAAAGTGAAGATTATTTGTAATATTAAGTAATAATATTACATTAAAGAATTACAAGTGTACGAGAGTATAACTTCAAAAAGGACAAAATATGTGAATAACACACTTTTTAACACACTGATAACTGCAGCTTACTCGAAAACATAAAAATCATATTATATTTATAATAATTATTATTTAATTCTTATAAACGAAAAACGCTTTTAAAATAAATAAACTGTAAGTAACAAAAAAATATTTGGTGTGCTCACTGCTTAGCTTCGTCACCCAAACTCATATCTGTGTTTACATCATTAAGAAAACTTATATTCACAATTTTAGATACAAAATATACGTTTTAAAAATGAATATTAAATCAATTCATCAAAAAATGTTATTTTTTTGCTGTTGTAACAATTTTCCACTTATTACTTACTATAAATAAAAAAATAATTTTTCACTGGATTTACTTCTTTTAAGGTCTTAACTTAATTCTTTGACGGATTATTAAACAAAAAAAAATTTTTTTTGTACATTATTAAACTTTATTTAACAATAAAATTCACGGAATTTTCATGAAATATTTTTATTTTTTATTTTCTGTTTTTTCAACTATTATTTCAATTTTTTTAAGAAAAATAAAATGCACCACCTTAAAGTAGAGAATTTAAGCTTTAAAAAGTGCTCTCATAAAATTTCAATATCACATTTACAACTATAGTTTTTGATCTATAAAGTATGGCCTAAAAAGTAAAATTTGTGATTTCTTAGAATTATTGAATATGTTGTGCTCAATATTATTCAAATTAAATTTTTAAGATTTTTTCCATATCGCTCACTGTTTCAATTGTCATTTGAAAAGTAAGCTGTGATAGTTATAGAAATTTATTTTAAAAATTAAAAGAATGACAGCTGTTTTATTATTATTGCACAAAATTATAGAATGACGTAACTTTATATACGTACTATTTATTTTTTTTTCTCAAGTTTAAAGACAGAAAATTTTGATAGCCGGATGACTCTTCTTTCATTTAAATTTTTGTGAGGTCGATTTGATCAATTATCAAAAGTTATAACAAATTTAGTGTAGCGCGCTCTTCGAGAGCTATACTTGGAGGGGGGAGGCGCCCGTCTCATTTTTCGTACATTAGAAAAAAAACTTCTGCAGCCTTCAATTCGCATTTTAGAAAAAAACTTTATTAACATTTTTTATGTAAAATTTCCTGTTCTTTCGAACGGCGCAGTTATTTTTTTTTTTAATAATTTTTTTTTATATATTTTGCAAAAACTGAAATTTTGCAATTAATTTGTTAAATACATAATTTAGCGTACACTCTACAGTTGGTAACTTTTTATATGTTGTTTCTGACAACTTTACAAAGCGAAAAATAAAAAGTTCTCTCTTCCAGTAATTTTCGCGAGTCAAAATCTATCTTGACTCCACTAAAATAGAAATTCTTATGAGTTCCATTTAAAATAAATACTGTTGGAACGCATTTTACAAGGTATTTTATAATTCTTAAATATTCATGAAATATCCATCCGAGTGTTTAATAGTTTTTCTTTGTTTTCCAGTGTTACTCACCGTGGTTTCCAAGCCCACGATGAACGAAGTTTACTTAATCATTATTTCGTACTTCATCTTAGTTACTTTTTTAACTTTAGAGGTAAGTTGAACTCCTGCAGTAATTGAAATTCTAATTTAGAAATAATACCTATCTCAAGCGGAAATTATTATCCGTGGACATTCTGTTTTTCTTCTGAGATTAAACTTAAATGTATATTTCATCAAAGGCAGCATTAAATAATGGATTGGAATATTTTATTAACGTCTCATAAACTTGAAAGAGTTTGTAAGAAAGAAAGGTTCATTCAGCACAACAAAACAGCCAGAAAATACAAATGGAAAGGACCCAGTTTATTTGTTTTTTCTCATCAAACAACCTCCGAGTAAAAATATTTAAAGATCACGAAATAAAATTGATCGTGTTTGTGAGGTTTCAATAAATGTTTCCAACAAAAAGCCCAGCGACTGAAATATATTGTATTTTAATTAAAAGTTGGACCTGTCTCGACATCGGATTCATCTCGAGAGATGTTTGTAAGTTTCGCCGCCTTCAGAATTCCCATATTATTTCCTCTGGGAGAGTTTGCAGAGATTAAATTATTTGTTGAGTGTTTTGGCAACTAATTTTAATTAAAAGTTTTTAAATAGCCCCCTACAACAGTTTGTTCTTCCCTGCTTCTGAATTTTCTTTTGGTTAAAGTGAAATTCAAGGACGCTCCTAAAATAAATTCGCCGTCGTCGACGAAGGAGAAGTTTCTCGGCAAAATTTGTATTTTCCGATCATCGAATAAGGATAACTCGGTTGCAAAAATTGTCTTCTGATGAATGATTGTTTCAAAGATGCATCATTCGTTGGACAGAATATCAGAAAATATTCAAAAAATTCTTGATCAAGGTAATAGTTTTTGTTGTTTCCCCATAAAAAAACATATATACATTGTATGTAGACCGATTAAAATAAATCATTTAGAGGGAAAAAAAGAAAAAAAAGAAAATTGTTACCTGGACTTTTATAAGTGGAAATGGAAAGGGGCTTATAATAAACGAAAAAAAAAAATAAATGCTTGAGCAGGTGCGGCGGAGGGTTGATTTGGGGGGTTGAAAAGTTATGAAAAATTTAATGAAAAGTTGACGTCAGAGAAAAAAGTATCTAATACTAAAGTTGTAGATCATGCAAAAATCTACAACTTTTATAGAGGTCATTTTTTAACATAACCTCAAAATTTCCTAGAAAAATGCGAAAAACAATTTTTTTTTCTGATTTTTCGTTTTTTATTTCTCATTTCCGCAAAATTAATTCAATTTTGACGAAACTTGCTGAAAGTATACCTTTCTCTGTCTTAAATAACCTCAAATTTTTTTAGATAAAAAAATCAAGAAGTTTCAGAGATATTCATTTTTTTCGGCCTGAAACACTTTTTTTTCAAAGAAATATTCTACTTAAAAAAATCATCGTACAGAGTTCTGCCGGTAATTATTTTTTTCGTTTTGACATATACTTTTTGTTGAAATAAAAAAATTTGTAATAACAGTCCAAAAACATGCTCAAAAATGTAAAAAAGTAAAAAATGACTTGTAGCAATGAATTTTTCAGTAATTGTTGATAATTTGTTTAAATTTAAAAAAAATCAAAACCTGATTACACCATTCAGTTGTATGGAAAAAATACAAAAAAAAATGTCTCATTGTTTGACCTAAAACTATTTTTGTACAGTATTGCTATAAACATAAGTCGAATAGTGAATAAATAAAATAAACAATAATTTTTTTCCCGTAGGATCGATTAGTGTACTTATTTTTTTAAAGTTTGATGAATTCATGAATGTGTCCAAGATAAGGATGGGATAGCATTAGGATCTAGGAAACGGTAAGAGATACGGAGTGGCTCAGATTAGAAAAAAGTTGTGTTCTTTTATACCTAACAATATGCCGTTTAGAAAGTTTTAAAATTCCGGGTAGTTCCGAAGATATCCGAAAAAACCCTAAATTTTGCAAAATTGTTTAATTTTTTCTAGCTTTATTTGAAAACGAATTTTAAAATAAATTACATATTTACAATGTCACGTTTTTCGCTCTATACAATGGCGTCAACATTTTTGCAATCCGACGTTTCGTCTTCGAGGAGCCATCATCGGGTTACTTTTTTTAAATACGTCGCCGTTATTTTTATGACAAAATCTAAAGTAATTTTTAATTCTGAATTAGAGGATATTACTATTGTAATCGCTTAAAAATTTTTAGTTTGTTTTCGCTATCATTTATAATTTTTCCTGAGTACGGCTCTGAACTCTTTCAAAATATCTATTTGATGAAGTCATAACAGTATAAAAGTTAATGTTTTACTGCTATTAGGAATACTAATTAGAAATAATAAAATATTTCGTAAATTCGTTATTATTTTTTTTATTAGGTACTTACAACTTTTTAAATTATGGATTAAAAAAATTCTTGGATATTTTGTGCTGTATTGACTCCTCTGCTGTATTCTCCTCTCTCTCTCTCTCTCCCTCTCTCCCTTTCTGCCTCTCCCCCTCTCCCTCCCTCTCCCTCTCACCCTCTCCCTCCCTCCCTCNTCTCCTCCAATAGATACAGATATTTTGAAAGCGTTCAGAGCCGTACTCAAGAAAAATTTTTAAAACCTTTTTACAATAGTAATATCATCTAATACAGAATTAAACATGACTAGATTTTGTCATAAAAATAGCAGCGATATACTTAAAAAAAAAATGTATCTGATGATGGCCTCTCGAAGACGAAACGTCGGATTGCAAAAATGTTGAGGCCATTGGATATAGCGAAAAAGTGGCAATGTTATTCGTTTTCAAATAAAACCAAAAAATAAAACGATTTTGCAAAATTTTGGGTTTTCGGATTTCGCGTCAACAGTAGACTTTGCAGTTAATACTTTGATTGCTGAAATCTCAAATCATCCAGAGATAATTTATCATTTGTGTTAATTAATTCATGTGTGTAATTCATAGTTGCAAGTAATTTTTTATTTTTTTGCATTTTTTAGCATGTTTTTGAACTGTTATTACAGATTTTTTTATTTCATCAAAAAGTATATGTCAAAACGAAAAAAATGATTACCGGCAGAACTCTGTACGATGATTTTTTAAAGTAGGATTTTTCTTTGAAAAAAAAAAAAAGTCATTTTCAGGCTGAAAAAATGAATATCTTAGAAACTTCTTGACTTTTTTGTCTAAAAATAATCGAGGTTATTTAAGACAGAGAAAGTTATACTTTCAGCAAGTTTCGTCAAAATTAAATTATTTTTGCGGAAATGAGAAATAAAAAACGAAAAATCAGAAAAAACCTGTTTTTAGCATTTTTCTCGGAAAGCTTGAGGTTATGTTAAAAAGTGACCTCTACAAAAGTTGTAGATTTTTGCATGATCTACAACTTTTGTATTGGATAGTTTTTTGTTTAACGTCAACTTTCGCCAGAAATCTCAATGATACAATTTTTCACACAACTTCTCAACCCCCCAAATCAACCCTCCGCCGCCCTGCTCACGCATTTATTTTTTTTAGGTTTATTATAAGCCCTTTTACCATTTCCACTTATAAAAGTCTAGGTAACAATTTTTTTTTTCTTCAAGTGTAATTTGGTTGGACTAATAAGAGATTTTGAATGGGAAAAATAGGTACACGAATAAAATTAACCTCACTATTGATCCACTTCTGGAAACCTGAGACCAATGCGTTTTTCCAGATATGCATCGCGTTCATTTTCGAGGACGACCGGCCCCTTATGGGGACGGCCTTCGCCCTGTCCTCCACTTACCTCACCTACGCCCTGATGCCAAACCGACTGAAAGACGCTTTATTATCCGGAACCATCATGGCCGTTACTGAAATCATCCTGCTGCTGTACGTCGGGAGACTGACCAGATTTTCAGAGGTGAGTGAACAGTTCTCATAAGATTCCAAAATTATTTCACAATGATGTGTGTTATCTCGGAACTTTATAAGGAACGAAATGAAACGTGTTTTATTAAGAAAAAAACGCGGGCTACGAACAAACGTGGCGATTTCCTGCTGGAACCGGGCGAAGTTCAACGCGGGAGCGCATAATAAAACGAATTTCCTGCAGATATTTCCTGCACAAAAAAAGGGGTCTGACTATTAGCTTCGCGACCCTACATTTGTGATATACGTAACCTAGATGTGCACTATCAGCAGTTAACTTTACGACTAACATAAATCTTCATCGGAAATGTCGAGATTTATTGATTTGATAAGCTCAGAAATTATTAAAAAAATATGCAAAACGACATTTAAATATTTATTCCTGTTAACTTTTTGAAATGACAATATTATGTCCTAATAAACACTAATTACATTAACGATTTTTTATAGTTTGGTAGTTTTTATTTTTTATTATTTTGTCCCAAGGACATACAATGAAATGATTTTTATTTATTTTTTCTCCAAAAAGGAACCAAGATACGAAAAAAATTCAAGAGAAAAAAATTGTACTTACTAGTTGTTTAATGTGAAAACAATTATAAAAGTTATACCTAAAAAAGTCAGTCAAGTTTTTTTGTCAAAAATATTTATTAACGCGACCCCTGGGACGCCACTGGACTTAATAATTTTAATCCAGTTTGGGCTAAATTAGATCCTGTCTATCATAAATAACACTGACAACAACGAAACATTCTGGACCTATGTTTATATAAACTTTTCGTCTTAGAATTACTCAAAGGATCACTCCTTGAAGTTTGGCCATACAGGGTGTTCAAAAAGTTTGGAATCCCCCCCCCCCCTCTATCTCAGAAAATGCTGCTCAAACAAAAATTATTAAGAAAAGTTACACGGTTTTGAGTGAGTAATCCAACGGTGACCTAGAAGGTAATTTAGAGGTCAAGTTGAAAATTTTATATAGAACCGTATACTTTTGACCCCGGAAATGGTAAGAGCGAAAAATTTTACGTTCGAATGTGACCTTGACCATGACCTTCAAGGTCATTTAGAGGTCAAGTTGAAAATTTTAAATGGAACCGTATATTTTTGACCCAGGAACGGACCTAATATATTGGACAAAAAATTTGATTAAAAAAGTTTTCAAATTAACATGTAAACGACGTCCAAGTTACAGTCAAAGTCACCGTTTATGTGCTCACTTTTAACCCTAACATTTCGGTAATTTTTCCACTGATGAGAACCTTCGGAGACAGGCTGTTGGAACTACTGTGACCATTTCCGGGGTAAAAAATATACGGTTCCACTTAAAATTTTCAACTTGACTTCTAAATGACCTTGAAGCTCATGGTCAAGGTCACCGTCGGATTGCTCACTCAAAACCCTGCAAATTTTGTCCTAATCATATTTTTGTTTGAGCAGCATGAGATAGGGGGCGGGGTTCCAAACTTTTTGAACACCTTGTATATTAAATAACATCCTGTATATTTTTATTGATTAAAAACTTGACAAGAAAGGAGTTGTAAACATTGCACGTCATGATGAGACAGAAAAAACATTGTTATAAAAATTTCCAAAATCGCGACAAGAACAAATTGTGCGAAAATTCAACCAACAAATTGTAGATTTTCTTAAATTTTCAAACAATATTGTGTTAAGGTTTGATACAATTTGTTCCTGCCATGATTGTAGGAATAATTGTATTTTAAAAAATACACGTGAATATCTCTCAAATTAAGGGCTTAATGAAAAAATTTTTCAAATAAAAGTTGTAAGATTTTGAGGGGGACATCTAATAGTGACCTTGACTATGACCTTCAAGGTCATTGCAAGTTGATTTTATTAAATGGAAACATATTTTTGACACCAGAAATGAAATGAGCAGAAAATTTTACATCCGACTATGACCTTCAAGGTCATTTGAAGGTCATTTTAGTTTTTGTTGCAAATTCTACTTTTGAGACCAGAAATGAGAAGAGCGGGCCATTTCACGTCCATCTATGACATTGACCTTGACCTTCGCGGGCAGTTCAAGGTCAAGTTAATTTTTCAAATAGAAACCGGTATGTTTCAGACCAAAATAGAAAGCGCGGAGAATTTTGCTTCCGGATATAACCTTGATCATGACCTGAAGTTTCAATAGTCATTTGAAGGTCATTCTAGTATTTTGCAGGCAAAACTTTATTCTTGTTCATATTTTTCTTTTTGATATGTGGGGTTCACCATAATTTTCCAGAATACCCATTAACCCTTTGCGGCATGCATTTTTTATTCAAATGATTTTGAACTCAGATTAGCTCAGAATTTAGTTAAATCCGATACGGCGGATCCAATATGTCGAATACTCGGCTCGACCTTGAGTTTTAACGTACGTTGAAGCATTTTCAAAATGTTAATCCATATGAATATTAAAAATGTTTACCAAAAATTGGTCGGCCATATTGGTTTTGAATATTTTCATAATCGCGATCAGCGCTCTCGAAAACCCTCTACACAAACACTATTCAGCAAGACGGAAATGAATTTTCAACAAAAAAATTAAATGACCTTCAACTGACCTTTAAATGCAATTGAAGGTCACGGTCAAGGTCATAGGCGGATGTAAAATTATCTGCTCTTTTCATTATTGGTGTCAAAAATATGTGTTTTCATTTGAAAAATCAACTAGACCTTGAAACGATCTTGAAGGTCGTGGTCAAGGTCACCATTAAATGTCCCCCTCAAAACCCTACAACTTTTATTTGAAAAATCTGTTCATTAAGCCCTTAACTTAAGATATATTCACGTGTATTTTTTAAAATGGGACACCCGGTATAAGTTTTCTTAAAATCGCGTTTTACATTATGATTGATCTAGTACATAATAGCCAAAATTATGGAATTAAGCTAAGAACAACGCGCGTACTGACTTGTGTCGTTTGCAATTGGAGATAAACTATAACCACAGGTACTGACATCACTAAAGAGCAACACGTCAGATGCAAGGCCTTAGTAATCTACCCAGATTATCACCTGGTAATGTCCACAATAGACTTCCCTTCTCAGGACACTTAGTTATATCGTGCAATTTCCATCTCGTTTTGAGCGTCGCCTGTTTCTCCCGTTCCAGGTCGGCAGCTGTTTCCTTATCTTGCTTTGTGGGAACGTCGCCGGCGTGTGCACCCATTATCCCCGGGAAGTGGCCCAGAGGAAGGCCTTCTTGGAGACGAGGCAGTGCATCGAGGCGCGGCTCAAGATACAGAGAGAAAATCAACAACAGGTAAGAAATTCCGCTTTCCCGATCTAATTACCTGTCTAGATGGCGCGCGTAATGGTTTACTTAACGTAAATCCAATTTATATTCATGAAGAGCCCGCGCGTCTTATACGAATCGGGCAGAAATGTATTAAACGACTTTTTAACGTCACGACTTTTAGTACCTGATAGAAGTCCTAGAAATTACATTTATTTTCGCAGAAGCTTTTTTGGTTGTGTGAGGAGCAGTGGCGGTTTTACCATAAGAGCTGCGGAGCTGCAGAACACATAAAATTGTATGTATTTAATCATATTAAATGTCAACAAAATATTTAAAGAATCCATATGTACTCGCGCTAAAATAAATCTAGGAGCTTATATTATTATTTATTGCGACGCGAGCTACGCTCCTTAATATATGCAACCTCATATACACAATGTGTGGACAGCGAACAATTATATGCGTCCTTTGTTTTTATTGGCTGATCAGGCACGTGACCCAGTACACGGAGATAGGGGCTTTTGCGGCTGCAATAGTCACAGCGCTGCAGTCTGCACTCTGTAGTAAATGCAGTAATATTTCGTACGTGGTATGTGGTGGTTTATTTCTGCGAGCGGCACGTGTGAATATTTTCGTTTAGGCGTCTACGGATATTATAGTTATTAAAATGAATAGCGTTTCGTTTAAAAAAAAA